GGATGTAGTCGGGTGAAATAAAAAAAAAAATCGGTGGAATTTAAAATTGATACTATAAATCAAAAGAACATTAGTTTAGGAACAAAATAAGCTAAAAATATTGATGGATTATGGAACTCCTTTTCGAGATATTTGATTTAAAAAAAATGGTGGGAAAAGGCTGACTCAGACTTTTACCTTATATTTAGTTTTGGCATTATTTCATTTTGGGTTGCAAATTGTAAGAAAAGAAATCTAGAATCTGCTTAAATTTTGGTAAATGACCTTTTATTAGCTATTGAAGTCTTATATGAAAAGAAATGTGGGTAATATGGGGCAAAATATTTTACCCTGTATCGTAGGAAAAAAACCAAGGAGTCCGAACATCTGACAAAAACTCCTAAACCTGACATGACTACATCCTTAATTAAAGAAATTCCTGAATGAATTACTGAATGAATTAGACCTCATACTAATAAAAGTCAAGTTGGCAAGAAGAGGATTGCAGTAGATTCCAAGAGGATTGCATGCAGAGTCTGTTAATAAACAATTCCATCTTACTTTGAAAAAAATACTGTGGATTCATTTATTTTCGTGGACACTAATTTTCATGGATTGATGAAAAATTGTATTTTCATGGATATTTGAGATCTGATGATGGTTGTGCCAAAGTTTGCAAACAAGCCTGTAGAATTCGTACAATGTTAAACATTTAAATTTGAGGTTACCCTGGTAACCTATACCCATGTAATCCACATACAAATAGTATCCCAAGAATAATAATGAATCCACAGTATGTTGTCAATCATAACTCAACACCTTGATGATGGTTATTTTCAGAAAATGTTCAGAATTCAGACTGCCACAAATAAAACTTTTTTTTTACAAAGTATGATTATCTCTTCCTTATAAAAGATATTCTTATCCATGTTTTCCATTCTTTGTTTAGAGAGAGCAGGTATGACTTATAATTCATTTAATCTGTATTTAATTTTTAAATAAGAAGTACTTGATTACATGATAATGCAAATTTCCCAGATACAAAAGAATGTGCCATACACATTAAAAACACAACAAAATTTACAAAAAGATTCCACAACATTTTGCTGACAGTAAGTTAAGATAATAAAAAAGCCTGTCAAATAAAATTTTTTTGGGTAATTAAAAGTTTTTAAAATGCAGATACACAACTCTGACTTATGTCTGATATAAAAGTCTGAAAAGCATGGCATTGTAAAAAAGCACAAACACTCCCTATATATGTTTAATATTAATATAAGAGTTATAAATAATGCAGTTAAACAGACACACAACAAATTGCATTGGCATTTAATACTGTATTGCTTTGATTATAAAGAGTAAATAAAAAAAAACCTAACTAATGTATATACAACCAAATCTAACAATAACTATAAAATAAAAAATGAGGAAATGTGGTATAATTGCCAATGAGAAAACTATCCATAAAGACCAAAGGACAAAGAAGTGAACAAATAACAGTTTACCATACAGCCTTCAACAATGAGCAAACCCAATTCTGTATAATAAACTGTAAAAAAGTTTATCTCAAATTCCCTCTATATAGTACCATAAAGTGTATGACTCTGCATCTAATCTAAATATCAAAATCATTCTGAAATAGGACAAATCAATATTGAAAATGCATAATACTCTTTCATAAGAAAAGTGTGGTAGCTTTTTATCAATTTTTTCTTGATGTAATGCATCTACTAAGTAGTAGACATATTTTCATTTTAACCTGTATTATTCAAGCTATACATTTTCATTAAAGGTAATTTTTCAGCAAAAGAATTCTCAATTTCAAAGCCTAATATTGATTTTCTTACTGTGCCATATTCTTGAAATATTCCGTAAATATTTGAATGGCCAAAAGTATGGCAAAAAACATTATTAAACATTATATGGCAGAATGAGCAGCTATTATTTTACAAAATTCTACAGTTAAGACATCATTATGACATTCATAAGAATAATAATAATATAATAATAATAACTAGATTTGCCATTGCAAGCAATAGCAGATGTCACCCTTCCCCCCATTGCCACTAAGTGGCATCCATTTAAAACAATTTAAACAGTGAATGCACATATATGCATGGCAATACATCTTTCTGTAAATTTTTAGAACATTTGGGGCATTTTGAAATTTTCACATTTTTGCTGTTTCCATGGCAACGGTGACCATTTTGGAAATTCCAAAGTCAAAAGTCTTATCTATACATGCCAGTTAGCATTAATATAAAGTTACATTAAGTTTGGTGCATTTTGAAATTTTTGATATTTTTTCTGGTTTCCATGGTAACAAAGACCATTTCCAAAATTATAATGACAGATGCCACATTGGTACATGGGAGGGAACATACCATCAAAGTTTCAATGGATTTGACCTACCGTTTTAAGAGAGAAAATGCTACTTTAGGTTTTTCCCATAGGGTTATAATGGGAAACCTTTCCCCAGTTTCCATGGCAATACAGTAGTTCCGATGATGCTCAAAAACATCCAAAACCTGTATATAGTGGATACCTATGTTGTATAAAAATTTGATGATATTTAGTTCAGGCATTCTCAAATTAGTCATCAAAAACAAAAAAAATATTTTTCACACTTTTGCTGTTTCCATGGAAACGGCGGCCATTTTAAAGTTCCAGAGTTTCACTGCAACTCTACTGATGGTGGTCCTTATTATGCTCAACAATCATGAAGATTGGTTCCATTGCCTCTGAGAAACCTGCCGGACAAATTCAGGTGGAAGAAAAATAATAATAAAAGGAGAAAAAGAAACAGAGGAAAAGCAATATGTCACCCGACATTGTCAATCAGGTGACATATTAATTCTTTATTTAAAGAGGGTTACACAGTTAGCTCTAACACTAATCTTCCCTGAGGCCCTCATGAAATGCAATGAAATATAACAAACAAACAATTACAAAAATAATCAAAATGATTTATTTCATGTTTAAACAAATTTATCGAGTATGAGGTCTGTAAATTTTTAATACAGATTCAAACTAAAATGGTCTATTTACACTTTTCTGTCTTTTTTAAATATATTTTCTGTTGTTTATATAAATCTTGAAATCGTTGTACATTGGTTTATGAAAATCCATTCAGCGTAATTTTTTGTCCAACTATTTTAAAAATATATCTTCTTCATCAATATTGTCTCTACCGAAATATAAACAGGGTTTATAAACACACACTAAAACAGGTCTTTAACACTTTTCACAATTTAAATGGTGGTACCCTGGGGTGAAAGAAAAACCTGTAATTAGATAAGTTTACAAAAATACCTGATGGATTAGCTGCCACAAACTAGTATAAAATAAAAAATAAATTCCAATCCAACGTTACACAGGGGAGATAATTTAACTTGACTAATCCACCAAAAGCTGCAATAAAATTCTCTAAATGAATAGATAGAAAGTTGTGCATAACCTTCATCATACTAGATGTGTTGGAACAACACGAATAGCCCTGCACACAAAAAAAGCTTGAAGCCATTTTTAAGAGTGGCAATTTTCAAAGTCTAATGCCCGTAATTTCAGCAAAAATCAGTGGAGCAGAAGCAAACATAAACTCGACCTGTAACTGATCATGGTTGACCCACATACTAAAAATCAGCTCAATATGTGAAGGCATTTAGAAAAAAAGTCCTTTAACTGTTATTTTCTAGAAATTTTCAAAGTCCAAAGCCCGTAATTTCAGCAACAATTCAGCTTAGCAGAAACATAAACTCAATCTGTAACTCATCATAGTAGACTCACAAACTAAAAATTAACCTGGATCACCTAATGTGTTTATTTATTCATTGGCAAAATATAATTTTGGATGATGCATATGCACTAAGTTAATCTAGCTAAATTCTCTGAAATTAGCCTATTTTTGCTGAAAAACTTGAAAATCTCCCTATGACATTACTTTAATGAAGTTACAGATAAATTGTGTCAAGAAGGTTTGGCAAATATACACATTTTTATATAGCCTTTCTTTTAAAGCTCATAGAATTTGATCAATAATAACTACCTAATATGCAATATTTTATTTTTCATTGAATTTACATGGCCAATTGAGACCTTCGATGTAACTTCTCCTCAGTCATTTTAAAAATTTGACCTGCTACAATTTTTAAAACTAAATTATGTATCTAGAATATAGTTGAGTATAAATCATAAATATCAATATAAGTCTAATAAACAGAAATCAAATATTCATCTTCTCTAATTGAGAAATCGTTAACAATACAATCAATAATGAACTCAATCATAAAAAATAACACAATCTCCACCAACAAAAAATGGTCCTAATGATATAGCCAAGGATGCTGAAAGTGTTGTCACACATAAACAAACAAACAAACCAACCTTCATGCTATGACATTCAGCTGTGTTGTAAATCAAATTTTGACGAAAATAAGTAAACAAGAAGTTGTTCTAGATGTCAGTCATGTAAGTATACTCCAACTTGTTATTAGGCATTAATTTAATTTTGGATGTAATACGTCTTCTGATTGGCTGAAAGTTTTTTTGTCTATCAGCTCATAGACATAATTTTGTCATGTGACTATGACATCATCAACGTTTTTTCATGATTAAATACAGATTTACTTCTTAAAAATGGAATTTAGAATTAAATTATAGGGAAAGACTGTAATATTTTTTCTGTCTATTAGAAATAACATAAAAAATGTGCTGCACTCTTTTAAATAACCAGCTATGCTAGTTATTCAGTGTGCACCACATTTTTGATGATATTTCTTCATAGACTGAAAAAATATTAGTCATTCCTTTAGCTTAATTAATGAAAATTTACATGCTCATCAGGTATAATTAAAAAATAAAAGTATAATTATAATCAATCAAGAAGAGAATGTCTGTTAGATCTGTAATTTGCTATTTAAGATAGAGCCTGTGAGCTTGTCAGATTGGCTGGTTCAAAAATAAGGAGATGTGATAATAATGTCAATGAGACCAATATTGTATAGGCCCCTGGATAGAAAATGTGAAACAATTCAAAAGAGAAAACCAAAGGCCCTTATACAGAAGTTGTGTAATATGAAGTGAAAATCCTGTGCAAAGATGATAAAATAAAAATTCAAATTATCAGTAGTTTAACAGGAAGTGACTACAATGCAGATCTAAAAATCACTTACAGGATAGACATTATCAATATGAAGTACCACACCAAATATGTCCAATTATTCCTTAATACACACACTCAGTTATATGTAATGAAAAATTCAATGCACTGTACATATTGGATTCAAAAAATTCAAAGTATATACAAACAGAAAATGACTGCCAATGAGGTCTGAAAATCTATTTCATGGTACAACTCACTAGTATACAAATATCAAATTGTTCTAAAGTGATGAAAAATTGCATGCTCATTCATTAGGATTAAAATTATCTTTTGCTAGTAAAATAAGTCAAAATGAGGGAAAGGAAGACTCTTCTTTGTCCAATTCACCAACTAAAATATGCCTTGTCCCTAAGTAACCATTGATAAAATCTACAAGTTTGGAAAAAATTAAACAATGAAAATTAAATTTAAACAATCTATCAATTGGGCATAAAGTACAATTCAGGAACTTCTTTATTTAAAATCTAGATTTCACTTTTCACTTCTTCTTGACTACTCAGGAGCTTCTTTCTTTAAAGTTGACCATAATACCAGTTTTGGCTCTCATTACAACCTCAAGAAATGGTATCACTGTATGGTCCGGATCCAAGGAGATTTCAAACCTTAAAAAAGATAAAATGATACTAAGATTAAGTGATATGATTCAATCAGATATTTCAAATTGATGATTACAAAATAGACATTACTGTTGATCTAATTATGCTTGGTGAAATATCTTTTTTTCTGTTAGATCTGTCACAACTAACAATCAAACCAGATTGATGACTCTACAAAACTCTGACAGAATTAAGGAGGGTGTGGATGGGGGTTTGCAGAATAGGGAATAATGGGCAAAAAATATAAAGAATAGAGAAAAATGGACCAAAAATATAAAGAATAGGGAATAATGGGCTAAAAATTTAAAGAATAGAGAAAAATGGACCAAAAATATAAAGAATAGAGAAAAAAAATGGCCTAAAAATTAAAGAATTCAGACATGAAGGACCCCGTCCAGACCCTCATTAAGTGTTAGTTATTTGAAAATATCTTTCGAACATTTTTATTATTAAATACATCTAGTTGACTTTTAAATGTTTTTTTGGTTTTTTATTGGTGGGGGGGGGGGGGGGGTGATGTTAGGTTGCTGTCTCGTGGATCATTGATTTTACCCCACATCTTTCTTAATTCATTTCTTTAAATTCCTGAGAACATTTTTTTTTCTTTCTATTTACGAGTTACACATGTATATTGGACATGTAAGTTTGTCATGTAGTTAATTGGAGAATCTTTTAGCAAAATTTGCACAGTAAATATTCAGATCGATTATAGTTAAATGCTTGTGATTGAATAGTTGATTTTTATCATGATTTCTGTCGTGTTTTATAATGTACAACTATATGATCAATAATGGTGGCCATATTTGATGTTATCAAGACTCATCAGATGTAAATTATGCTAGGTAACAATAATGTACAGCAAATCTTGTGTGTCTTCAATAAAATTATATATTACTGTCTTTGGATGACAATTACAGATTTCTATTAAATGGATATTTCAAAGTTTTCAGAAGTATCATTATCAAAATAATATGAATACAAAACTGTGTGATTTTTTAATGAATGTGAAAGTATCTAAACACTTGCATTCATAATTTCAGTATTGATTTTATTGTCAACACTGATTTAACTGCTTCTGTGTAATTTCAACGCATACCTTTCTACAATTCTTGCTATCAACACTTTTTCTTCATTCTGTGCAAAGTTTAATCCTATACAGTTTCTGTAACATAAATTCACTTATATAGCATACAGATAAAAGTACAATGAAATTTTCAAAATAATGGCTTTCTTTCTATAAAAATGTTTTAATGACACTTACTTATTTTGCTTTGATGTAATGTATGTTCTGATGAGCAAGCCATTCTCTAAATACAATGCATCAGGACTCTCGGTCATAACACTTTACTCTGAACTTGGAGTACAAAATTAGCGCTCGAAACACCAAATCCAGTATTTTGATAGGTTGAATTCTGAGTCTGAGTACGATAATCATACTCCAAAGTTTTAAGACCGGGAGCCCTGGTTTAAAATCCCTTTCCAGTAGAAAATTGTGTGAAATATAGAGATCAATCCAACGATTGTTGTCTCTTTAAAATCCAGCCAGTTTATAAGGGAGATAACCCATACTTAACTAGGTCCCAGTAAAACTATGAATCTGTTTCATGATGTTCATCTGTATGCATTATAGGGGAGATAATTCATATTATTATGTTTCATGATGTTCATCTCCATTCATTATAGGGGAGATAATTCATATTATTATGTTTCATGATGTTCATTGCCATTCATTATAGGGGAGATAATTCATATTATTATGTGTCATGATGTTCATCTACACTCATTATAAGGGAAATAATTCAAATTATTATGTTTCATGATTCATATTATTATGTTTCATGATGTTCATCTCCATTCATTATAGGGGAGATAATTCATATTATTATGTTTCATGATTCATATTATTATGTTTCATGATGTTCATCTCTATTCATTATAGGGGAGATAATTCATATTATTATGTTGCATGATGTTCATCTACACTCATTATAGAGGAAATAATTCATATTATTTTGTTTCATGATTCATATTATTATTTTTCATGATGTTCATCTCCATTGATTATAGGGGAGATAATTCATATTATTATGTTTCATGATGTTCATCTCCATTGATTATAGGGGAGATAATTCATATTATTATGTTTCATGATGTTCATCTCCATTGATTATAGGGGAGATAATTCATATTATTATGTGTCATGATGTTCATCTCCATTCATCATAGGGGAGATAATTCATATCATTGTTTCATGATTCATATTATTTTGTGTCATGATGTTCATCTCCATTCATTATAGGGGAGATATTTCATATTATTATGTGTCATGATGTTCATCTCCATTGATTATAGGGGAGATAATTCATATTATTATGTGTCATGATGTTCATCTCCATTCATCATAGGGGAGATAATTCATATCATTGTTTCATGATTCATATTATTATGTTTCATGATGTTCATCTCCATTCATTATAGGGGAGATAATTCATATTATTATGTGTCATGATGTTCATCTCCATTCATCATAGGGGAGATAATTCATATCATTGTTTCATGATTCATATTATTATGTGTCATGATGTTCATCTCCATTCATTATAGGGGAGATAATTCATATTATTATGTTTCATGATGTTCATCTCCATTCATTATAGGGGAGATAATTCATATTATTATGTTTCATGATGTGCATCTCCATTCATTATAGGGGAGATAATTCATATTATTATGTGTCATGATGTTCATCTCCATTTATGATAGGGGAGATAATTCATATCATTATGTGTCATGATGTTCATCTCCATTCATTATAGGGGAGATAATTCATATTATTATGTTTCATGATTCATATTATTATGTTTCATGATGTTCATCTCCATTCATTATAGGGGAGATAATTCATATTATTATGTTTCATGATGTTCATCTCCATTCATTATAGGGGAGATAATTCATATTATTATGTTTCATGATGTTCATCTCCATTCATTATAAGGGAAATAATTCATATTATTATGTTTCATTATTCATATTATTATTTTTCATGATATTCATCTCCATTCATTATAGGGGAGATAATTCATACTATTATGTGTCATGATGTTCATCTCCATTCATTATAGGGGAGATAATTCATAATATTATGTTTCATAATGTGCATCGCCATTCATTATAGGGGAGATAATTCATATTATTATGTTTCATGATGTTCATCTCCATTCATTATAGGGGAGATATTTCATATTATTATGTTTCATTATGTTCATCTCCATTCATTATAGGGGAGATAATTCATATTACTATGTTGCATGATGTTCATCTACACTCATTATAGAGGAAATAATTCATATTATTTCGTTTCATGATTCATATTATTATTTTTCATGATGTTCATCTCCATTCATTATAGGGGAGATAATTCATATTATTATGTTTCATGATGTTCATCTCCATTCATTATAGGGGAGATAATTCATATTATTATGTTTCATGATGTGTATCGCCATTCATTATAGGGGAGATAAATCATATTATTTTGTTTCATTATTCATATTATTATTTTTCATGATGTTCATCTCCATTCATTTTAGGGGAGATAATTCATACTATTATGTGTCATGATGTTCATCTCCATTCATTATAGGGGAGATAATTCATATTATTATGTTTCATAATGTGCATCTCCATTCATTATAGGGGAGATAATTCATATTATTATGTTTCATGATGTTCATCTCCATTCATTATAGGGGAGATATTTCATATTATTATGTTTCATTATGTTCATCTCCATTCATTATAGGGGAGATAATTCATATTACTATGTTGCATGATGTTCATCTACACTCATTATAGAGTAAATAATTCATATTATTTTGTTTCATGATTCATATTATTATTTTTCATGATGTTCATCTCCATTCATTATAGGGGAGATAATTCATATTATTATGTTTCATGATGTTCATCTCCATTCACTATAGGGGAGATAATTCATATTATTATGTGTCATGATGTTCATCTCCATTCATTATAGGGGAGATAATTCATATTATTATGTGTCATGATCTTCATCTCCATTCATTATAGGGGAGATAATTCATACTATTATGTGTCATGATGTTCATCTCCATTCATTATAGGGGAGATAATTCATATTATTATGTGTCATGATGTTCATCTCCATTCATTATAGGGGAGATAATTCATATTACTATGTTTCATGATGTGCATCGCCATTCATTATAGGGGAGATAATTCATATTATTATGTGTCATGATGTTCATCTGCATTCATTATAGGGGAGATAATTCATATCATTGTTTCATGATTCATATTATTATGTGTCATGATGTTCATCTCCATTCATTATAGGGGAGATAATTCATATTATTATGTTTCATGATGTGCATCGACATTCATTATAGGGGAGATAATTCATATTATTATGTGTCATGATGTTAATCTCCATTCATTATAGGGGAGATAATTCATATTACTATGTTGCATGATGTTCATCTACACTCATTATAGAGCAAAAATTCATATTATTTTGTTTCATGATTCATATTATTATTTTTCATGATGTTCATCTCCATTCCTTGTAGGGGAGATAATTCATATTATTATGTTTCATGATGTTCATCTCCATTCATAATAGGGGAGATAATTCATATTATTCTATTTCATAATTCATATTATTATGTTTCATGATGTTCATCTCCATTCATTATAGGGGAGATATTTCATATTATTATGTTTCATGATGTTCATCTCCATTCATTATAGCGGAGATAATTCATATTATTATGTTTCATAATGTGCATCGCCATTCATTATAGGGGAGATAATTCATATTATTATGTTTCATGATGTTCATCTCCATTCATTATAGGGGAGATATTTCATATTATTATGTTTTATGATGTTCATCTCCATTCATTATAGGGGAGATAATTCATATTATTATGTTTCATGATGTTCATCTCCATTCATTATAGGGGAGATAATTCATATTATTATCTGTCATGATGTTCATCTTCATTCATTATAGGGGAGATAATTCATATTATTATGTTTCATGATGTTCATCTCCATTCATTATAGGGGAGATAATTCATATTATTATGTTTCATGATGTTCATCTCCATTCATTATAGGGGAGATAATTCATATTATTATGTTTCATGATTCATATTATTATGTTTCATGATGTTCATCTCCATTCAATATAGGGGAGATAATTCATATTATTATGTTTCATGATTCATATTATTATGTGTCATGATGTTCATCTCAATTCATTATAGGGGAGACAATTCATATTATTTTTTTCATGATGTTCATTTCCATTCATTATAGGGGAGATAATTCATATCATTATGTTTCATGATTCATATTATTATGTTTCATGATGTTCATCGCCATTCATTATAGGGGAGATAATTCATATTATTATGTTTCATGATGTTCATCTCCATTCATTATAGGGGAGATAATTCATATTATTATGTTTCATGATGTTCATCTCCATTCATTATAGGGGAGATAATTCATATTATCATGTTTCATGATTCATATTATTATTTTTTATGATGTTCATCTCCATTCATTATAGGGGGGATAATTCATTTTTACCTTGGTCCAGCAGAAAATGGAGTAAAACTATAAGGATCCATCTCGTGGTGTTTGTCTCCTTCAAATCTCTCTGGTTTAAACTCCTGAAAATAGTGGAAATAAAATAAATAAATTATAAACATTCAAAACTGTCCATCAAAAACAATCATGATGTTTGTACTTGCCAGTCCTTTTTATATATTTGTCAATCAAGACAAGAACACTTTTGTACTGGACATTTACCAATCTTTCAAAGTCATGTTTAAATAGATTGCAACTAAATAATTTAAGAAACAAATGGTTAATTTTGTCAAAATATTATTTAAACTTATTAAATTATAAAGGTTTTGGAGCTAATAATTGAAATTAACAAAACCATGTTATTTACACAAGGCAGTATAGGTGTATAGGTGTGAAACTTTATAATTATGCATTCAAAAGCTTTCAAAATAATAAAATAAGTTACACATCTAGTTTGAGCTTCATCAGAAATAAGGAAAAACTACCTTTTGTGCAAAAACTTCAACCCTGACAGTAATAGTATAAAAAGTCTTACAATGTTTTCCGTCAAGAACCGACACATATAAATAAATAAAAGAACAGAGTTCAAATGTCCCCCACGTTGCATATACTTTATCTATCCAAGGGTAATAACTAAAAAAATAATTCTTGAAATTATCTTAGAGAGTTGAAGACTTGAGAGCAATTTCCGATATATTTAATATTTCGAAGGGGTATAACTCATTTAATATATTTGATCGGCACTTATTTCAAAAATATTCGAGACATTGTTAATATAAACCTATTATATGAGGTAATTAACTCTTTTAAAAATGATTGATCGGCAATGATTTTTTAACTCATCTGAGAAATTGCTGATATAAACCTACAATATAAATTTCATAAAAAACTGGCAAGAATTGTACACATGAGAGCGCTAACAATGCAATTTTCCATATTATTAATATTTCTAAGGGCCATCACTCTTTAAAAATTATTGATCTGCACTGATTTTCAAACTCGTCCCAGACATTGCTGATATAAATCTATGATATAATCTGGCAAGAATTGTACATGTGAGAGTGCTAACAAAACTGGACAGAAGGATGGACGGCTGCCAGGTATTTATATGTCCCCCAAATGTGTCACGCTGGGAACAATAATCATAACTTTTATACACATTGCATATTCCTGATCTTCAAATTATTTATTACTCAAACTTACTGTTGGATTTTCCCAAACATCGGGATGGTTATGACAATGATAAATACCAAAGTCTACCATAACTCCAGCAGGGATTTCATACCCATCCAAAACAATGTCTTCATCTAATGTCCTGTTTGTGACTGGTACTGGTGTATGAACTCTCATAACTTCCTTCAGGAAACAGGTCAGGTATTTCAACTTTGGTAGATCTTCACTATACATTGAAAAATATAGTACAAATATAATAGAGCATCAATTATTCAAATTCCTAATTTGGAAACAATGAGAACTTGATCTCTACCTTTACATATTTATACTCCTGTCTCTGAGTCTTTGGTTTACTGTTTAACATTTTACAATCACATAGATGTTTCATATGCATTCCCTCATTTTTTATTGGCAGACAACAATCAATGGTGTTTATAAGTGATGTTTTATGTCCAAATAAAATGCAACATACATATGTGTAGGTGCTCTCCATGACAACATTACAACAATCCTTGGGAATATAAAAAAATAAATAAAAAAAGTTTGATTCAACTAGCATTTTCATAATAAGTATTAACTGCTACTTTTGTTGGTAGTTTTACAGGGTTATATAGGGGTGAAGATGTAAACATTATAGTATGAAACACTTTAGTGTGTCATTCAACACTTTTTCCCCCATGATAAACATTCAATATTCAATTAAGGATCTTCTCTAGACTGATTTAATTTGTTAATTTAAAGTTTCTCATTGCCTGATGATACTAGTAGTTGCTGTTGCAAGCTATCTGAAATTTAGCAAAATGCCAATGGATCGGTGCATATGGTATGTGGTCAACTATTAGCTTAATCGGTGAATTATACATTATTAAGATAATAGAAACCTTTACCTGTCAATCATTTTCTTGCTGCCTGTGACCTCTTTGACCTCTTGGTAAACTTTGTCCTGTATATCTTTGTATTTACCTAAACAATACATACTCCAGCTCAATACACTGGATGTTGTATCATGGCCTGGAATATAAAAAATAAACATGACAGTGTAAAGACCACTAGTAATTTGTATTTACTCATTCATTTAAAACTGATAATCCATACTTCAATTGAACTAAGTCTTACAATTTTATTTAATCAGAGTTGATTATGTGATTTCAAAACTGATGCTTCATAATTTAAAAGTTTGAATTCAAAACTCTATAACAATGTCAGTAATGTTACAGAGTTGCTTGTACCAACTTAGTGCATGAAATGTTTCAATGTATATGTATGGCAATAATGAAATATTTCTATATATTCCAAATCAATATTCATAATTAATTTTTTTTCTTTTGTAATAATGAATTGGAACAATAAGTTGGAATAAATTGAAATAATGTATAGTTTTGTACTTTTTATAGTTAGTTAAAAAAAAAAAAGAATAATAAAATAATACAAATGTTTGTTTATATTATCCTATGTAGTTAAAATTTTCAAAAAAGGAAGCTAGTGAGGGGTATGAATGTTTTATTCTAACTGGTCTCAATTATCCATAACTTAAGAAAAAGTATAATTGGAGGTCATTAAAATCAAAGTAAACCTTGTAATTTTGGCTAAAATAGACTAAGTCACTCATTGTTGAAGGTCATATGATGACCAGCAGTTGTTTACATCCTCGTCCTTTGGTCTCTGGTAGATACTTGTTAATTGGCAATCATATCACATCTCCTTATTTTTATAGGTTACTGAATGACTATCTCAAAATAATATTCATTTATAATATTGGACTTGACTTTTACTTTAGAAAAAGAAAAAGTTGAAAAGACTAATTAAAATCTAAAAACATTTGTTCCATACCTGTAAACCTCTGAAAATAAAAATGCAGGTCGTGACCTTAAAAATAAGTAGTTCTGCAGGCAGTTTTAAAGCTCTAGAAAATTAGCCAGTTCCATATGATATGCAACCATTAGAAAAATAGGTAGTTTGTTAAACCTTCACAGTTCATAGGCAGTTCATAAGCATTTATTTTCACAAAAAATTTAAATTAGCTACCTGTAACTGCCTATTTCTTTATGAATATTTATTAGAACTGTTTTATAACTGTCTTTTACTTTATGTGAATATTTATAATATAGTACAATAATAAAAGAATCAAGATGATGTCATGATCTTCATGTACAAAGACTACCGGTAATACTGCTGTTAAATTAGGCAGTCAATGCAAACTAAAAAATTAAAAACCGGTTAAATAGGCATTTCTTCAAAACCTTCTAATTAAAAAAACTTGATATTTAGACAGTTTTTGCAAAGTGATTACAGAATTTACTAAACTGCTTGGAACTATCTGAAAACTGATTATTTTTTCTTAACTGCCTTTCAACTGTTTAAATAGGCAGTTCACTTTGGCTTGGGTGTGATCATTCAATTGAGGTCAAATTATCGAACTTCCTCAGACCTGCCAACATTCATGATTTATGGGGGATTTGTCCCATGAGAAGTGTTGACCTGAATTTTGAAAGTCTTTATTTTATAAACTAAACACCTCAAAAACAGGAATTCAAATGAGTTAAAAGGGTATTTAAGCATGATACATACAATGTACTCATTCAAACAATAAAGTAGCAGATTAAAAACACTTACGACAATATAAGAGGAGCATTTTGAAAAGTTGGCAGGTATGCTTCCTGCCCAGAAAAAATTTCAAATTTGCCTTTTATTTTTTTTAGAGGAAAATCTATCATTTTAAACTTTAAAAGTCGCAAGGCTCTAAAATACTGGTCATTTGATTTAATCCCAGGTTATTTGATGACCCTGGCAGGTATTGAAAAATCTCGGGTGACCTGTTAAATTCCCTGGTGTGACCTGCAAAAATTGGGTCAGTTGACAGGTATGTTGTTGGATGCAGGTGATATTTGACATGTAGACTCAGATATGGGTGAAATTAAAGATAAAGATTAAACCTTTCAGCCACCAATTATGCTTTAACAGGAGAGATGCCTTATCACCCATGGAATTCAAATTGTCCAAAGAAGGAAAAATTGATATAGAAAAGAATGTATTTCAAAATAGAATAAGTGTGTTCTATATGCTGCACCCTGGGTAATTTAAGTGCATCCACATTATGCCAACTACATGGAAATCTTTCATAAACACAAAAAATTACCAGCAAAAAGGAAGGTATCCACTTCAGCCCTGATTTCATCATCAGTCATTCCTATACCATTATCATCTTTGGCTGTTATTAAAATATCCAGGAAGTCCAAGTGTTTCTTTGTCTCTGTTTCTTTACTTTCATTCTAAATAGACATGTAGAATGACATGATTTCATATCAGCAGGTTAAGTATACTATAAATTTTCTTTAAGGAACTGATAGCATTCTTTGATACACTATCATATTGCTTAGTTGATTTTTTTCTTTGTGCTTGTGTCTTTGTTATCTATTTTACATTTATTTTAGAGTAAAACACTTTTCCTGCACTGATTTTTGTTGTATGTTCTGTAGTGTACCTTATGTTATTTCAATGATTGAGATTGAAAAGGGGGAGGGTAGAGATAGGTATAAAAACTAGAGGCTCTCAAGAGCCTGTGTCGCTCACCTGTATTTACTGATACTTTGGAAATCATGTAAAATAAGGTTAAAATCATAATTAATAGTATTAGATATTAGATATTATAATGATATCTAAGATAATAACAAAAAACTGCAAAATTTCTGTAAAATTACTAACTCAGGGGCAGCAACCCAACAACAGGTTGTCGGATTTCTAAATCTGATGAACATTTTTGCCACCTGTCAGATTTGCTCTAAATGCTTTAGTTTCAGAGATATAAACCAAAAACTGCATTTTACCCCTATGTTCTATTTTTAACCAAGTCGGCCATGATGGTTGGAAGGCGGGACACATTTTTTAAACTAGATACCCTAATAATGATTATGGCCAAGTATGGTTAAATTTGTCTCAGTCGTTTCAGAGAAGAAGATTTTTGTAAAAGATTACAAAAATTTACGAAAATTTGTTAAAAATTTACTATAAAGGGCAATAGCTCCTAAAGGGGTCGACTGACAATTTTGGTCATGACGACTTATTTGTAGATCTTACTTTGCTGAACATTATTGCTGTTTACAGTTTATCTCTATCTATAATAATATTCAAGATAATAACCAAAAACTGCAAAATTTCCTTAAAATTACCAATTCAGGGGCAGCAACCTAACAACAGGTTGTCAAATTTGTCTGAAAATTTCAGAGCAGATAGATCCTGACCTGATAATCAGTTTTACCATTGTCAGATTTACTCTAAATGCTTTGGTTTCAGAGATATAAGCCAAAATCTACATTTTACCCCTATGTTCTATTTTTAGCCATGGCGGCCATCTTGGTTGAAAGGCAGGGTCATCGGACACATTTTTTAAACTAGATACCCTAATGATGATTGTGGCCAAGTTTGGTTAAATTTGGCCCAGTGGTTTCAGAGGAGAAGATTTTTGTAAAAAGCTAACAACGACGGGCCAGGTGAGCTAAAAAACTAGTTTTACCCTGTTACACATTCAAGTGCCTGTCCCAAGTCAGAATCCTGCCAATTGCCATTTTTTAATATAATTTTTTTTATATGGAAAATTCATAATTAATGACAGATCTTTGATGGTTTCTATTTAATTTATTTACCTTTTTAGACATAAGATGATTTAGAGCTTTTCCAATCATATAGAAACCAGCTGTCTATTGTTGAAGATTGTATGTTGCCCTCTAAATGACTTTTTGTTTTTCTGTGTTGTTTGGTTGCTGTCTCTTTGATCTCCTTTTATTCATCAAACATTGGTTTAGGATAAAATGTTACTTTTTATTAATTTATTGATGTGTAAATTAAGCTCACAAACTGAACAAAATTTAGAGACGTGTATGAGCAGTTTGACCAATTTAGACATTACACACTCAGAACAAAATATATAACTCTTAGTTCTAATAGATATAAGAAGATGTGGTATGAGTGCCAATGAGACAACTCTAAGTTCTTATAATTTCAATTACCATTAACCTTTTTGTGCACGGTTTTTAAATTCAAACTCCTTTTGTAAGAGTTTCCACATTTCAGTAGACAATGTTAGTATAATTCATAACATTTCCATATTTCAGTAGACAATGTTAGTATAATTCATAACAAAGTATAAATGGAGAATGTGTTCATGGGACACAGATGATGCCCCTGCTTGCATATAACATTATAAAGGAACATAACTCAAGAACAGTAAAAGTGACGCCACCAAAATTCAAACTTGATCTGTCAGTTTTGTGGTAATAAGCATTGTGTTTAAGTTTCATAACATTTGGTTGAGGCAAACTTAAGTTAGAGAATGGAAATGAAAAATTCAGCAATGTTTTCCATTTGTAAAGGGGCATTACTCTAGAACAGTAAAAGTGATGCCACCCAAATTCACGCTTGATCTGTGTTTTGTGTTAATAAGCATTGTGTGTAAGTTTCATAATATTTGGTTGAGTTAAACTAAAGTTAGAGAACAGAAACCAATTTCTGGATGTACAGACGTACAAGGGAAACAGTAAATGCCCCCTCCACTGCGGTGGGGGCATAAATTTTTTTTAATTAATGATATAAAAAGTTACACTTATCCTTATAGGGAATAATCATAGTATATATACACCCCTCCCATGTTATGGCATACCTTTGTTTTAGAGCTTGACATATATGTATACAGACACCTGTCTATTGTTGAAGACTGTAATATGTTGCTCTTTAGATGTTTTAATAGATGATTATTTTTGTCTTTTAGTTGCTGTCTCATTGGTGGCCCTTCCCTAGATTTTCCATCAAACATGATGGAATTTTGTGATGGAAAAAATGCCATCACATTCCATCATATTGATGGAGTATTGGAACAACTTTCCATCAACTTTCCATCAATGCTGGAAAATGGTTGATGGAAAAGGTTTGATGGAATTTGTGTTCATGATGATGGAAAATGGATGGCATAATTTCCATCTGATGGATAATTGATGGTATTTTTGCCATCTGATGGATAATTGATGGTCTTTTTGCCATCTGATGGAAAACCAATGGAATATTTCCATCACATGTAAAATGCATGGAAACTTGATGGAGAATTGACCATCAGATGGAATTTGATGGATGAGTAAGGAGAATGTCTTTAGAAAATCTTTCCATTTATGGCATTTTCTGTGATTTAATAAAACAATATTTGTTCTCTGTCGTCTATAGGTAGTCCTGTTACATGTGTGTATCTTTTCGTTCAGTGTCCCATTGAACTCGCTGTCCTTAAAGTTGAATTTGTTGATGGCAAATTCTGCAAAATAAAAGTAAAAGAATCTAGCATATAAAAGAATAAGTTAACATTGTACAGATATAAAGTTAGTTACATTTGTTGTCAATTCTGAAATTATCAATCAAATGAAAATAACACTTTTTGAAAAGATTTGTATTAATGTGTCACTTGCAGGGTCAATTTCTAAGAGTGTCAAATCCTTCTAGAAATTTAATATTCAGAGGTGGATTTAGGAAAGGGGCTCCCCCTTTCTGAGCTTTAGAGCTACATAACTTATTGCATAGAAGTTTTATAAGTCTTACTCCTAATGTTGACTTAATTGCCACCACCACCACCCTGGTTCAGCAGCTGATATATAACTGTACAATACATTAAACCTCATGTCAGTACTAAATTATCATCATTATAATAAGTGACTGTCCCTAGAAATAAAGAGGTTGTCCTTTCTTTTTTGTTTAATATTTGTTTTTCATAATCATTGTACTATAACATAATGGGTCTTGCCCATGTTTTATATCATACTTTTGGTGGGTAGTGTACATGTATATACTATACATGTATATATAAAGATATATTATTTTACCATTTGTGGATATATAAATGTCATATTGTCAGTCACACCACAGATCTCTAATTTTATAGCAAAATTACTTTTTCAGACGTACTATTTTATAAAACAAATAATGTTTTAATATGATACAAAATATGACTCAAGTCCTACACAATTTTATGATATGTATATGCATATTTTTTGTGTCATTTGGTCTCTTGTGGAGAGTTGTCTCATTGGCAAGCATACCACATCTTCTTACTAATACTTTTTATAAATCTATGACCTTCTTTTTTTCTTGACTCTTAAAAGTTAATAAAACACTTTAAATGTCACTACTTTGAACTAAAAGAGCATGCACATATATTCAAAATTGGAAATTCTAATACATTGTACTTACCAAAAGATATAATCCAAAATATGTTTACAAATTACACCCGAGACGTTCCAAAAATATATATAGGCGGTGCTCCTATCATTGGCAGTAACACTACACAGTTTTGTACATACACATGGCGTCACGAAACACAATCGGAAATCCATTTTACGATATCAAATGTTTCAAAACAGAGTGGAAAATATCGTGCGCCACGTGGGCGCTTACATTTGTCACTCTATGCGCCATTTCTGGTCGAAAAGGGCAATTGGCGCAAGGCGGACGTCCTTCCCGATCACTGTGTTTAATAGCTTATTTAAATGGCTGTCAAGTTCCCATTAAAAAAAATTGACTTGTATTTATTTTAATGTCAGATCCTTAAACTCCCATCAAAATTAGATACTAGTACTTACTACTAGCAAATTTGTTGGCCATTTTTAATGGCTGCTTAGCCTTAGATTGTTAAATTACCAATCAAAATGGGTCCCACCCCCACCCCCTCCTCCTCATGTTCACTAATACCCTTAAGCATTTCATTGTCTTAATTCAATAATTGTATTTAGATACACATTGTTCACCATGGCTTAACGATGCTCGCTGTTCTGCTTCAAATATTATAAGGCCTAAAATAAAATATTGTCTGTTTCCCCAATCCCTACCGACCTTGCAAAAACAGGTCCGACTCATAAAATTTTATTGTCAAAACTAAGTCAAATATTATTTTATTCAGTTCCAATTTTCAGGCTTGCCAGATCGACCGATATTATTCCAGCTTTTTGGAAAAAATAAAATTATTTCCCTACCTACCTACCCACACCTGGTGTCCGGATTGGGGAAACAAACAATATATTAATTTAGGCTTAATAAAAATCAGATATAAAGGATACATGTTATATCATGTTAAGTTCTTCTCCTTTCTGTAAATAAATTTGCTGTCTCTGTACTTCCAACTAGTATTGCTGAGTAAAGGTAACTGGAATCTGCATGCAATCTGTTTACTATCAAAGTTGGCAGCTCCATTTTAAAATCATTAAATCCTCTAAAAGTTAAAAAAAAAATCCACAAAGAATCAATTGTTCAAGACGTTTTGAAGCAATAAATTCAATAGAAATATTATTGCATGTTTATACAGTACAAGTAACATTGGAAGCCATTTGGAATCAAATTAATTACCCTCCCCCTTTTTTTATCCCCTGAAGATTAAAAACCGGCGACTTTTTATTTTCACCAAATAACCATTCACACAACTCAATATTTTTTTAACATGTCTACCAGTTATGCCTGTTATGTGACAACAAGATTATTCATTGTCAAAAACTCATGTTAAAAATAAATATAATTTTCAGTTTATGATTTCAGACTTTCTGATATTGATTTGCTCAAATAAAAACAATAAAAAACTCAAAGTTCCTCAATAAATTATAATTTATAATCATAATATATGGATACACATGTTGAATTAAATTTTTAATGCACTTATCTGAAAACATCTGCATCGGATTTTCCAGCATCGGATTTTCAAGTTTGATCTCCACATCAGCGTAATCACATTTTCATGACGTATTTCTCAAGTGCGCTAACGTCGAAGTGACAATCTCGCCCCATATTATATCGACCATAAGTTGATCCGTTCCCGTACCGGTATTATGAAAATAGATCAAGGGTGTCGCATAAAAATATTACAACTGGCCAGTTTTAAATAAAAGAAAGAAACCAACGTTCATTTAATCGGCACAGGGTGCATGCAGTTGAACTATTGGCCGCATTATCTAGAACGGTATTTTCTAGGGTCGAACTGTTCAGTACAATTACAAAAAACATGTGGTCATGATTTGTTTACATTTTACACAAGTTGAGAAACCAATGTTTCACGATGTCGATCATTGATCTGATAATTAATAGAAACGCACTTATGTGAACTTGGGAGAAAATCAGAAACGCCCCAGCTTGTCTGGCAAAACAGCCGTTGGCGTTTCTCGAGTTCCCTGCCGTTTATATCGCGAAAATCTCGGCATTTTTCTTACTTTGAAATACGGTCAAACTGAAATTCGTAATTCTTCCATGAACAGGAAGTTCAGCTAGCTGTGTAAACTGTAAAATTAAGAGACCCATTAAGTGCATGGCTTCACCTGACAGCTTTGGTGTCAAACACATTGTTAATTAAACACCAATAATCTTTGCTTTATGTCAAAAACAATTTGTCTATTTCAAAAATGTTTGCCAAAAAAAATGAGTTACTTCCCCTTTTTTATCACCTTTTCACAATATATTCCGTTAATTTATGTTTTTTTTTCGTAATTAAATGAATATAAAACAAATTGAATGCAAATGCATATTAGAATATTTCTTTTAATTATTTTTAACCTGAAAACACTTAAAATATAAATATTTTGAAAATTGTTTTTTTCATCTTCACCTCCATTCATTGATCTATCAAGTGCATTAAATTAGTAATTCAAAATGGTTTATTGTAAGTTTGCTTAAGACTCTAAAGATGTGTAACTAACAGGTTAACTTATGTGAAACTCATAAGCCAATAAATATTTAAATTCAGCTGCAGTGTGAACATGTCATTAGTCACTATTAATGTTTTATTATAGTTTAATTGCCCTTTTTTCAATGACATTTTACGAATATAATTGTCATTTTTCTGACTAGAGCACCCTGCCCTTTTTAAATCCTGGCTAGAACACTGTATCTTCATGTGAATGTGAATATATATATATTTAGCAAACAATAGTTAATTTCAGTCCCAAAGATTTTCTTTTTTATTTGGTTGAATTTGTAATACAGATTATATTTTTTCTTCAAGTCCCAATATACCAGGAATCATCCAGGACTTTTGTTGTTTTTTTTTTTCCATTCAGATAGAATTTGTAAATGTCCTGAAAGTTGGATGAATGATGATCGAAAAGTCCTGATATATTCTGGTTTATATAATATGATTTTTGAAAGTCTTGAGATATCCTGAGAATTCCCCCAGTTTTAAGCTGCTTGGTTTGAAAGTCCTGACATTTTCTGGAATTCTCCCATTAAGTTTTTTCCTAAAAAAAGGACTTATAGCCTAACAGTATATTTTCAGGATATCCCAGGATAATCTTGAGATATCCTTATTATAAAAGTTGTCAGGATTTATTTCTGCAAGGGGTGTATACATCATTTAATGGAAAATGTAAAAATAAAAGTATTGGTTACAGAACAGTCAATAGACATATAAATAGTGACAAAAAGTAATTTTTACACTGGTTGAAATAAAAACCAAAGTATTCTTGAAATCCTTTCCTGCTACAAGATATCATAAGTGTATTGCACAGTTTAGGAAATTGTTTGTTGCAACTTTCTAGCAAACAAACTCTTTCTTGCAACATTGCAGCAAAATACTGCAACTTTCTCATGAACAAGTATTATTGCAGTAACATTGAGAGATTATGTTACAGGTTACAGCTGCAACAACATGTAACTTTCTTGCTAGTACTTCTTGTTAACAAATTTGTTTGCTCCAATATAATAGAAAACTTTTTACTTCAGTAAGGGATGTTAAATTTTCAGACACAATTTTGCTGAAATTTTCTAAGTTTTTTTCCATCAAGTAAAATGACAGAGTTTAAATACCATCACACTTTCCATCAACAAAATATTCTAAGTCCAAATTCCATCTCACTTTCCATCAAAGAAAATGTTAAAGTCCAATTTCCATCAAACTTCCTTCATTTCCATCCTATTGTCCATCAGATGAAATAAATGCCATCATATTTTCCATCAGAGGGAAAAAATGCCATCCAATTTTCCATCAGGGGTTAAAGATGCCATCAAATTTTCCATCAAAAGAATGCGGATGGAAATAAAATTCCTAATTTCCATCATCCTTTGATGGATTTTTTTGGTTTAGGATGGAATTCCATCAAGTACCATCAAATTTCCATCAATTGTCCATCAAGTGTTGATGGAAAATGAAGAAATTGATGGAAGATCTAGGGAAGGGGTGTCCATCTATCTATATGTTATTTCAAGCTTAAATTACTACTTCTTATAGCTACCTTTATATAAGATAACTCACCAACTCTTTTCGTCTTTTAGATATTATGTCTTTTGAGAATTTATGAACATAATCACAAATCTTGAAGAATTCTCTACCATCAGTAGTAAAATATCTGTATATGAACTCTGCATAATGATGAAAATGGCTACAAAGAAAAAAAAATGAATCTACTTATTTATACTGGGTGAAATGATATTAGAAAACAGTATAGATAGGTTTCCACTGACATAATTTGAACAAGAGTGAACCCTTTTGTCGCCATTATGGAGATCTAAGTGCACAATTCCTTCATAAATCAGCCAAATTCAACATGTTATACTGACTGCTAGACTTTTGAAAAAATTGTTATCTGAACAATTCTAATCTTTTCGCCTTGCTTGATTCATCACTATGATTCAGTAAGGATCTTTTATCACACTTGTTTGTACGGTATGATTCAATTTTGTTATTCAAATTGAAAAATCAACTATTTACTCCTCCAAAATGGTGGCCAAGGGAAATAACTCAAACTCAAATTATGTCATATCACAACCTATCTATTACAGGAGGAAAATTATAAAAATTCATTTAGGGCACATAGTGCAGCAACACAAGTGTGAGGTTAATAATATACAAATCAAATTATGCACACTTTTAATTTCTGATTTTGATTAAACAATTATACTCCCCTTGGAGAAAAAGACCATAGAAATACCATAGATAACCCATTCTTGTCACAAAGTCTCTGATATGTGTGTCTCCTTCGGGCTCTATAGTACAACTACAGGCAGTATATTATATCTCTGTATATTTCTATTTAAAAAAATGACCTCAAGTCCTACACAGTTTAAGCATTGTTAGAAGGTTGAATGTATATAAAACATTAGATGTGGCATGATTGCACGTAAGACAACTATCCACTAAAGACCAAATGATGTGCAAGTATAGGTCCCCATATGGCCTTCAACAATGAATAAACCCATAGTGTCTAGCCTGACAGCTATAAAAGACCCTGACATGAATAAATGAGAAACAATTTAAACAAGAAAACCACCTACCTGAGGCTGATGTAGATTAGTTATGTGGCAAATGTGACAAGAGATTTATTCCATACCATGAAACATACATAATACCTCAGGATTAAAACATTGGCATTTAGCATGGAGGCTTGTCAATTAATGAAGACCATATGTTGACCCCTACATTTCTTTTTTTGTTTGCCGGTTTGATTGTTTGTTGTAATACTGTCTACTTGGCATTTACCCAAACTATTCATACTTATCATAGGCTTATATGTTACCTTTGAAAGACTTTTTACAGCAAACTAGACTTTTTTTCATGATTTTGGAACAGTTAAAAGGGGTGCATATTACACATTAATGCGTTCTATACACTGCCGATTATGGTACTATAAATGACATAAACAAATCTCCCTATACTATATACCATGAAGTAAAAGTATCATGCTTCTGATGAACTTACAAACTTCTTTTATCAATCAGATGTCCCAAACGATTTACTGCTGTCACATAGGGATGGCTGTCTCTGAATATAACAAATAATAAAAAACTAGTAGGAAATTAATCAGATTTTGAAGTGTACATATATGGACACTGAAAGATATCAACAAATATAAAATTATCATTGAATTTATTGTAAATTTCTTAGTACTGATCTTTTACACTTATATTCACTGTAAATTCCAAAACTTTTGTGAACATTAATTATTGGGATTTTTAAACACTAGACATACATGAAATTGCAAGATTAATAATATTGCAATATGAGAAAATGCTGCTTACAAATGAGATGATTTCAGCTTCCCAATTGTGAACTTTCCATTTCTATGTAGCAACATTCCAGCAGTACCTGCATACAGAGTATATATCTCCCAGTTGATACAATATTCCAGGGCTTGTATTTCCTATCATGATTTCCTTGATAGAGGGTTGCTGCTCACAAGGAAGCTATTAAATCGAGAGTTCCAATTGGTGAAGTTGAAATCATCCCTTCATTGGTTGACCGTTATGGAATATCCCTAAATGTGACCTACTGAATTAGACTTATCACCAGGTTTGTACTTACATGAGCAACACGACTGGTGCCACATGTGGAGCAGGATCTGCTTACCCTTCTGGAGCACCTGAGATCACCCCCAAGTTTTTGGTGGGGTTCGTGTTGCTCAGTCTTTAGTTTTCTATGTTGTGTTTTGTGTACTGTTGTTTGTCTTTTCATCGTTTTCTGTTTTAGCCTTAGTGTTGTCAGTTTTCGAGTTTGAATGTCCCTTTGGTATCTTTCGCCTCTCTTTTACAAATAATTATATCAGAATTTAAAAAGCATGTTTTTATTTTTTCCAAAACTGTCACATTGCAATTTTCACAATAATAAAATCTTCACAATTTGTTCTTTTTACATAAATGAACAATTTCAAAAAACTAACTTCAAGTTGTAGAAGTTACATAACAAGAGTTTTCTTTTTATGAAATAATAAATGAATTCAATAACAGGTTCATCTTTATCACACTGTACATCTTAGCTGTATTTTTCTCTATTGACTGTCACAATTCACAGTTGAATATCCCGTACCATAGAATTGTTCAGGGGCACTGGAGTTCACTCCAGTTTTCTATAGTTTTTGTGTTGTTCAAACTTTAGTTTTCTGTGTATTGTTTTGTTATTGTTTCTCTTTTTTTGCCATTTTAAAAAAAAATTTGGCCATGGCTATGTCTGCTATTATTGGACTTATCAATTTCGACTGCTCTCTCTCTCTCTAACAAAAATAGCAATAATATATTGAATACATACATATAGTTTTAACATTAAATTTTGAAAATTTAAGAAATTTTGAAATATGGCTCCAAATAGATTTTTTTTTATAATTTTCACCTATCTAAAGTACCACCTACCCCACAAGTTGAACATTTCCTTTATAACCAAGTGAACATTGTAACAGAGTATCTAGAGTAGCCATACTTGCTGGCTTAAAAATATCTAAATATTTCCCATCTTTACTTCCACTGGCTAACTTATCCTGTTAAAAATAAAATAAAGAAAACTATTACAGGTATGAGTCAAGGTATGCAAATATTTATCAATTTCTTATATTTTACATTTGTATCAATATAAAGAAAATTAAATCATTATTAGCAACACAACATTTTTAATCGTTCTTAATTATTATTTCACCATAAATTTAACATTTACTTGCAAATTACTTTTAGTACATGAAATTTTGGGTATGTCTTGTGAACTAGCACTTTAAAAAGTCAAACTAATTAAGCGTGTCTGTCTAGTGCAAATCAGGGTTTATAGTCATATTGGATTAACATGTTCTCGTCTTTAATAGGCATTTAATTTGACCCTAGACATAAAACAGCTATCAATCATCATCATAAGATACCATTGACTTTCAAATACCCTGTCAGTTTACTAATTCATGTGATTCAATTAAAAATCACTCCTAGTGGTAATTTTATAAATTTAAGAAAATTTGTGATTGTGGGAAATTCACATGATTTCATAGGTGATATCATCAAAGGTTCCTAAATACGAGTGTTATCACCTTCAATCAATAGCCATCTTGGTATGCACCCTGTTTCACACTGAATCACTCAACACTTAAGCAATAACTATTTTTCACAGAACTACCTTGAGTTTGTGTATAGATACAATGTATATACTGCAGTGGACTGTGGTGATAACATTACTTACCAATAATACATCAGCCACCTCATTGTAGAGCTTAAAATACCCTGTCAGCATACTGTAGTGGACTGTGGTGTTAACATTACTTACCAATAATACATCAGCCACCTCATTGTAGAGCTTAAAATATCCTGTCAGTATACTGTAGTGGACTGTGGTGTTAACATTACTTACCAATAATACATCAGCCACCTCATTGTAGAGCTTAAAATACCCTGTCAGTATACTGAAGTGGACCTTGGTGTTAACATTACTTACCAATAATACATCTGCCACCTCATTGTAGAGTTTAAAATACCCTGTCAGTATACTAAAGTGGAAAGCTGGTGTCAACAATCGACGATTTCTCTCCCATTTTGGTCCATTAGCTATTAACAAGCTTTGACCTTAAAACATGTAAAATGATAACAATTAATTTATCAATTAGACATCCAAGTAAATGTTCCATAATATTATATTTTGAAAAAAATTCTTGGGAATGTGATACAAAAGAAGATTCATAATCTGCTCATAAATGATTTTTCAAAGCGTTAAAACAAGATTTTACAAATAGGTGACTAAGCATGGATATGGACAGAGTAGACCGATAATTTCTTTTAGATTTATCAAATGTTGTATAATGAAAGTTAACTTAGAGTCTGATCATGCTAGTAGATTTATGTATTAATAAGTGTCGTGTGACATAAAAACACTTCACAAGTTTTGTTGTATGATGTCAGAGGATTGAAATTACATAATTTTCACATGTGAAATTATTGTTTATTTTTGTTTGAATTGGAAAATCACTGTATTTCATTACAATTAATGTAATAATTTTATTTAATCACAACTTACCTAGCCATGGAACAAGAAAAGGATACCCTGGACCTATCATTGTTTTCGGAGCATTAGATCTCATCACAACTTTCATCGTATCTGGATGTGCCAGTATAATAATTGGTTGGAATCGAAACAACCAAAACACGTAAAGTTTATCTCCCTTCCCTATACACTCCTCGTGCATCCTAAACATCAGGTCGCTGAAATCTTTTATCTGAAAACACATTTTATCATTTGATGATTAAGATTGAAAAAGGGTGGTGAGAAATTAAAACAGCAGGCTAAACCTGTGTCATGTTCATGTGTCTATCCAAAGTCAGGAACCTTAAGTTAGTTGTAGTTTTTAGTAAATCTAAATTTTTTTTGTTGACATTTCAATTCAGATGTTGGTATTGTTGAATATGTCTCTTTCAAATTCATTCACAGGTTTTAAAATTTGATGTAAAATTGAAAGGTCTACATATTTTTGTAAACACTTGTCATTTTAAGGATTATGTGGAACACTCCGAAAATTTTCGACCTGAAAGAAATTTAGATTTTGCATGTACTTGATTTTCTCCAATTTGTTAAATATCAATATGCAGCAAAGATTAACATTTTTTAAATTTCAGTTTCACAAGCTTCTAAAGCAATTATCTCTGTAAATAATGAACATAAAACATTGTGTCTTTGCATATATATTTCTATTAAAACAGTTTAACAAATAATTTCTTTAAAATGTATGATTGTTTTTTAGAAATAACTTTTGATCAATATCGTCACCCGGCATTGTTTTACTATTGATTTTCTCGACTCTTATCATAAGAAGAGGTAATTTTCTATTGTTCTCGCTCATCACTTTAGCCACTGAAATGTCTTGTTGTGGTATTGGTTGCTATCTCATTGACATATACCCCAAAATATCCTACAAGTATTGAAAATTACATGGCTAATAAAAAATTGAACATTTGTCAGAATAATGTGGAAATTCTAAAGTTCAAGAAGTATCTAGACAGTTTGTGAACAAAATGAAATGAAATTGTTCATAAAGAGAACTATGGAAGTTAGATGAATTAAAACTTATAAAAATTCTTCCAAAACAAATGTCATACTGATGTTGCATATAAAGCTTAGTATAACAGAGTAAACATGAAATACTAATCTTACCTGAAAAATATTTCCAAAGAACCAATGTGGCTTAGGACCTGGTAATTTTGAAACAGATGCTATCACAAGTCTCAGCCATTTTAAATATTTAAATATTCTTAAAGCAGCATAAGTCACCACCAAGGTCACGGCACCGACTACAAATGTCCATGTTAATGTACCCATAATTCTTCTCTATTGCTACTGTTTCCCTAGTATTCCTAAAATTCAAAATAATAAGACACTATTAATGTAATATAAACTGTTAATGATTAATAATTCAGTGGTCCTCGTTTGTTGCTGTATATCATATTTGTTTTTCGTTCATTATTTTGTACATAAATCAGGCCATTAGTTTTCTCGTTTGAATTGTTTTACATTTGTCATTTCGGGCCTTTTACAGCTGACTATATGTGGTATGGGTTCTGCTCATTGTTGAAGACCATACGGTGACCTATAGCTGTTAACTTCTATGTCATTTACACTACAAACTGCTCAGAGTCTGAAAAGACCAGTTTTTGTGCTCGACCAGTAAAGTCGAGCACAGATTTTACTCCACTTGTCTCGACAGTACTAAACTGTACTCGACTTTGGTCTCGACTTTACTTAATAAGTCTGATTCAGTAATTGATGATCTTGGTGTAGTCTGAAATGGTCTCGACCAAGGCTCGACCTGTCTCGACCAAGGCTCGACCAGTCTTGACCAGTCTTGACCTGTCTCGACCAGTCTCAACTGTCTCTACTAGTCTTGACCTTCAAGTTTAGTCTCAACTGGTCTGAATCAGCCCATCTAACTAAATTAAATATTGATCTTACAAAATTCCAGGTTATTTGGTAGTTGGTTCATTGCTGGGAAATTAAAGAAGTAAATTAATAGGTAAAAAAAAAAGCAAGAATTTTCAGTTTTGACTTAATTCAGATAGTCGTCTTTAATTATTTCTATAACTTTTTCAAATCAACTTGGATTTTCTTAAAACTATACAGCTATCTCAAATATACATTGATCTTACTGAATCCCAGGTCGTTATGTAGTTTGGTGTATTGCTGTCAAATTTAAGAATTTAATTAATAGGTAAAAAAAAGCTAGAATTTTCAGTGGGACTGAATTCAGCTAGTCAACTTTAAATTTGTTTATTATTTTTTCAAATTAACTTGGATTTTCATATAACTATACAGCTATCTCAGTTGTATATTGATCTTACTGAATCCAGGTTATTATGTAGTTTGGTGTATTGCTGTCAAATTTAAGGATTAAATTAATAGTTAAAAAAAAAAGGTTTTTCATTTTGGTTTAATTCAGATAGTCAACTTTAATTATTTCTATAACTTTTTCAAATCAACTTGGATTTTCATCAAACTCTACATCTATCTCAATTATACATTGATCTTACTGAATCCCAGGTCGTTATGTAGTTTGATGTATTGCTGTCAAATTTAAGGATTTAAGGGCATACGATACAGTAGAGATCCCTCGTTGATTTTTTCTTGAAATTTTGGTAGAAGGTCAATTTCGATGTGTACTTTTGAAATATGCAAAGAAAAATATACCTTCATGACTTACTTTTTGAGATAATTTGGTTCGAAATTTGCATATTTGAAGGAAAAACCCTGAAATTTCAAAAATCAGGACTTTTAAGGAAAGTACCAATACTTTTGAACGAACAGTCATAATTTAACCGGGTTTTTTGTAAAATGTTCCCTTGATCCATGGCATCAGCATGCTGTAGCAAGTTAACGGTTGAAATAAATAATTATATCCTAAATTCTTTTAATACAAGTGAAATAAAGAAGATGAAAATATTTTTGCGTCTACAGAAATTCTATCGTTGATTTTTTTCTTAAAATTTTGGCGGAGCGTTCTTGAAACAGAACTTGATTGATTGCAAAAGAAAAAACTGGGGGTCCATGTGTTTGTTTTTTCAATAAAAGCAATAAACCTTAATTTTTATTGGTAAACGGGACGTTTGCCAATAAGGCGCCAAACTACGTTGGAATAAGTTTTATTCGCAACAACGTTGTGAAATCTTTCCCGCCGTTCACTAATACGTTGACAATTTCAGTGGTAGAGCCAAGGTGTTTTTTTTTAAACCAATGATATTAATCATGAAAATTAATAAAGCTGGCTCCTCGTAAATAGCATCATATTTGCCAAACCTTTATGAATTGTTACGAAACTTGGATTGAAAAAGTATTCTAGTAAATTACTTTTAGAAAAGAACTGTTCGGAAACAAAACAGATATATATAATAAAAAAATTAATTTGCATCTCTGCATGTCCGACATTAGTCATACAATTCATGCAGACAACACAGCTTGAACATAGTTTTAATTATTCAAAAGGCCCCGACATGACAAAATGTGCAACAATTATAAAGTAAGGGGGATGATATAAAAATAAGGACATTTGGTATGATTGCAAAAGAGACAACTATCAACCATAGTTCAAATGACGAAGATAAACGCTATTAAAGGTAACCCTACGGCCTTCAACACAAAAAAAAAAAAAAAAAAAAGCCACACCGTATAGTCAGCTTTAAAAAGCCCCGACATGAAAATATGAAATAATTCAAACAAGAAAACTAACGACCTACTCTATAGGCATTACATGAACACAAAATCATACCTACATTAAATCGGGTCAGCTTAGTCCATTACAGTGTAGTATAACATTTCATACAGCAGTCGATATAAGAGCATGAAATTTAATGATTCTGTATCAATTGATAAGTTACCTAAGCTTGTCTTCAGGGTATTTTTTTTTATTACGGTACATATAATCATTGAATTACTTGTCTGTATTATACCTTTAATCTAGGAGTGAGTGCAACCACATTGTTTGTCCGGTCCAACAAATATTTTGTTTCTTATCTGAGAAACTTCTTTACAAAAAGACTTTGTATTGTTCAGTAACTTAACATCAATGAGTTGCAACTCTGGTCTGTCAAATACCTAATTCCTGTGTGCCGATTTTTCTCTCTCAATATGTACATAGAGGATATGCTTAGCACATCAACGGGTGCGTTTTTGTTTTTGGACTATAATACGGGGCTTATAACTGTGTCATTTTAACTGACAGTTCTTCTTCATACACATATATATTCCACGGGTTAAATTCTAAAAATGTCGTTAAACTCTTTATTTTCAAAGTCAGGAACAGTAAGATGCACTGTCATTATTTATTACGTTTTTTGTGAGCCAAATGGTGAAGTTACTATATAAATTACTTATTGTTTTGGTTTTTTTTTTGTGTAGTTGGGTTTCTCTCTCATCGACGTCTTATGTTTTTCATATCACTTATTCATTTCCTATATGAAATAACAGACATACAAAGTTAAGAATGTGGATTTGATTTTTTTCCCATTCGAAGTTAATATTGTTGACTTCCTTATTTATGAATAAATATAACAGTTCTCGTGATTTGGCCGATTTTCATTGCAGGTACTTTTTTCAAATTCGAGCAATCGGGATTATGACGTCAGTGGATTTTCCGCAAATATGACTACATCTGAAGCGACGTCGAGAAATGTAATCGTTCTCATTAGAAACATCGCGAAATTACAACGTTCTGATTAACAACGTCGCGAAAATAACACGAAAAGTTTTGAAAACGTTTTTATCTGCCCCTGCTACTGTATCGTATGCCCTTAATTGATAGGTAAAAAAAAGCTAGAATTTTCAGTCGACTGAATTCAGATAGTCAACTTTAAATTTGTTTATTACTTTTTCAAATTAACTTGAATTTTGATAAAACTATACACCTATCTCAGTTGTATATTGATCTTACTAACTCTTAGGTTGTTATGTTGTTTGGCATATTGCTGTCAAATTTAAGGATTTAATTAATCAAGGTAAAAAAAAGCTAGAATTTTCAGATTGGACTAAATTCAGATAGTTATCTTTAAATTTTTTTATAACTGTTTCAAAGCAACTTGGGTTTTCATCAAAATCTACAGCTATCTCCATTATATAATTATCTTTAAAAATACCAGTTTATTTGTTAATTTGGTTTATTACTGTCAAATTTAAATATTCAAATAATAAGTATCTGTCTGAATTTAGTCAAAACTGAAAATTTCAGCCTTTTTAACCTATTACCTCAGTCCTTAATATGACAGCAATACACTAAAATACAAAACAACCTGTTATTCTGTAAGATAAATATATAATAAAGATAGCTGAAAAGTTTGATGAAAATCCATACTGATTTGAAAAAGTTATAAAAAAATTTAAAGTGACTAAAAGAATTCAATGCGAACTAAATTAACGGTTAAAATAAATTTCTCTTTAACTGACATGGCAACAGCCACAATAAGATAAAGATATATATAAAACAGATTTTTACATCCTTACATGATTCTCAGATTTATCAAATAGAGATAGTTAAATCAAATAATCTTATATTTGGTTTGGCATGTGTTTTTTTTTTCTTAAACCTAATTTTCCTAAATTCTTAAAAAAAAAAAACCTAGGCTTCATGGTTACATACAATAGTAATATAATTATCTTTTTAATGAGGTAACAACATGAACAACAGCCAACAAAATCACTGAAATTGTTTAATAAAATTGAGAATGGAAATGGGGAATATGTCAAAGAGCAGACAACACATGAAGGCCACCAATGGGTCTTCAATGCAGCAAGAAAACCCCGCACCCGTAACCTTATATTAGAAATATATCTATTATTATAATTTGGGATATAGTATATATAATATATATCAAAGCGGATAAAAAATTAAAGAAATTAATAAAATCGTTCTTCTGATTAGTGGTGAAGTATAAAGTAATACCTCCTGCTTGGGGCAAACTCATTAAAAAAGATCACAACCTGGTCAGAGAGTATTAAATTCTAAAGAACATTCATTCAAAATTGCAACATCCTGTTTAACTTAAATCGCAAGGCCTTTTGAATTCACTAGATAAGTAATACATGAGTTTAAGAAACATAGGGCTTTCTTTTTACCTGTAAAACACACATATACTGATGTAATTAAACCTTATTAAAGTGCTTCTTGTATGCCATGTCTTTAATTTTGACAAAAATTATTTCAAAAGGTTATCAAGGATTCCTATGAAAGTTCTATTATCATGATTATATTAAACTCTTGTTTTAACAAAACAAAGGTGGCATTTTAAAAAATTTATAACTTTTTCAAATCAGCTTAGATTTTCATCAAACTTTTCAGCTATCTTTATTATATATTTATC